TGTGTGGCAAGATGCCAGCAACTGTCGAGGGTCACGTGGGAATGCACTGTACCAGCTGTGAGACACTGCTGCAGCTTTGAGATTTTCCAAAATGAAAGCTGGGGGAAAGAACGCACAGCTGTAACAAGACAGGCTATGCATTCAGGAATAGAGGGAAGATGGATGCAGAGGCAAAACGACAGGGCCCCAGCCCCAAAGGGCTCTCCCGGTTGTGCACGTGCCCATCAGTCTCCAGCCTCCTGCAGGGGGAGAAGGGGGTGGAGAGCTGCACAGGGGCGAATGCATCTGCCCGGACCATGGCACCGCAAACTTGATTAATCCGCATCAAAACTGCTGCTGTCACCACACGTCTGGTAACAGAGGCAGGCGGCAGGCTGGGAGGGAACGGGTACCTGATGCTCCCCGAGGGCCACTCTGGACGCCCTGTGTGGGCAGCCAGGAGCCCGCAAAGCTGACTGTTCAGTGAGGGGCGGCGACCGGGCAGGCTGCAGAGCTGATCAGCAACACCAGGCGAGGCCTCCCCGGCTCCGCTCAGAATGCTCCTTCCTCTGCCGCATGAAACAAGGCGCAAGGGCAAACGTCTCCTCCTGCAGCTGAATTCTGTGCACCCAGAGGAGCAGCACAGCTGCTACAGGAAGCAGTTTACTTCCCCAGGGAGCAGGGGACGACACTTTCATTGTGCACAGGTCTGCTGTTGCTGCATTTTTTAAGAGAAGGAGAGGAAGAGAAAGCACGCCCTTCCACTGATTCACTCCCCAAAGGATCGCAATGACCAGGGCTGGAGCCAGGGGCTGGAAACTCAATGCAGGTCCCCCATGTGGTGGCATGGACCAAATCACTTGGGCCATCACTACTGGCCCCCAGAGTCTGCATTAGCGGGAAGCAGGAGTAGGAGCCAGAGCTGGGGTTCCAGCCCAGGCAGTCCTATGTGGGGTGCAGGCGTCCCACCCACTAACCAAACACCCACTCCCAATTACTTTCATTGTTGCCTTTGATGGAGAACAAAATTAGCTAATCTTCAACTTTTCCCTTCTTGCAATAATTTCAGTCTATAAAAGATATTTGGCCAGTGGGGAGAAGGCACGCAGGGGCATCTGAGGCGGCCCTGTCACCTGTCAGTTCTCCAAATCCCCCAGCAGCGTGACACCATGGATCAACCAAGAGCAGAAATGGTGACTCCTCCGACAAGCCGAGCCACGGCAGCTTCCTACAGATGCTTGGCCCTAAACCATACATGCCGTCACCTGTGAGGCGAGCAGACGCAACCTCATTTGGGGGAAACAAAGGACTGCAGCCCCCAAGATGTGGCCGTCAGGGGAAGGCAATGCAGTGTCCCTCGGAAGTCGGCTGGTCACCTGGGAACAGACAGCAAGCAAAGTGAGGGAGCTCGCCCTCGTCGAGGGACAGAGCAGCACACACTAGCAGGGTGGCTCTTGTGGGCCTGCTTACTGCCCTAGCACGAAGCCACAGCAGGGAAGGGTCCCCCGAGGCCCTGGCCCAGCGTGGTGAGACAAATTCTCACAGGGACACAGCTCTCCCAGCTCAGAGCCCACACCAAGAAAGCCCGCACCCGGTAGCATCATGCAGGGCCCAGTGCCGGATGCCACCCCAGGCCCTCACTCGTCCCTGCTGGGGGCTGAGCTATGTCCTCCCCAAATCCTCATGAGGCCCCAGTCCCCAGACCTAACGTGGAAGTTAAGATGGCGCCACTCTCTGGGTATGCTACAGAAAGAAATCCCAGAGTTTAGGAAGGCAGGGATCTTGTCTTGCTTCTTGGTTTTCAACGAGTGGTCTGTTGAGCCCACCCTCACCCCATAAACACACTAATAAGGGAAGCCTGGAACTGGAGTGTCGTGGCCGTCCCCCACAGGCAGGGGGACAGTGAGAGTGCCACCATGCACCCAGCCACTCGGGGCCATTAGAACGATGGGCCTGAAAGTGACATCCGTGGTTTCTGCAATGGACAGAGGGTGGCACACGTGTCAGTGGGCACAGCCAAGGAGACTTGGTAGTGGCTGATCCTGGTGCTGGGGACTGACACAGCTGGCAGCAGTGTCACCCTCCACTGCCTGACTGCGTGAGAGCCACACTCTCCCCAAGTCCCCAGACTGAGGGGTACCAGACCTCCTGTACAGAGGCACCCCCTTACCTGCCTCTGTGCCCTCTAAGAGGGCTGTGAGTATCTGCCAGGGTTCTGAGAGTCGGGGAGAGAAGCACCTGGCCTGTCAGGAAACCACTGGGCACCGCCTCCAACCCTGGAAGAGCAGCTCCAGGAGGTCAGGTGGTCAGCAGTTTTGGCCGAGACAGCAACACCGGTCCCACGTGCAGTGGAAGGGACAGCAGCTGGAGGAATCCCACACAAGCTTCCTGGCCCCGGAGCAGGCCTGGCAGAGCCCAGGGCAGAGCAGAAATCAGAACGGTCTCTCCCCTCTCAAACAGAACATTCAAAAGACGCCTTCCTGGAAAAATCCGAGATGAATCCCACAACCATGCCCATCCACCTGCGCCGAGAACTCAGGGCCCGGCCCAGTGCTTGGCCTGTCCCCAGTGCACCCCAGCAGCCACGGCAGTGGCAGGTGCCATCCAGACGTGGTTTCTTTGCTGAAACAAATCAGTGACTTTCCTGCACCCCAGCCTTCCCGAAGTGTCCTTCCACCTGGCGGGGATGGCAGCGCCCCTCAGGGTCTTGTGCCAGGGTCTGCTGCTCCCAGGCCTCCCCACGGGCCCTGGGGAAGGCCCAGGGTGGAGGGGCAGCGGACCAGACACATCCTGGGGAGGCCTGTGAATGCCAGAGGGTAGGGTTTAGCCTGACACAGAAGGAAGGGCCACTGCCACAAAGCCCCAGGGCCCAGGGACCTAAGGAGTTCAGACGCGGTCGCCAGGGAGGGACAGGCTGCTGCCTCCCGTCACCGCGGTCCTCACAGCACCACCTGCCAGACTCGCACGGCTGTGTGATGGACCCATGAGCTCCAGACTTGTATGAGGTCCAGGAAAGTAAAGGCCACCCAGCACACTGATGCGACAGCCGCACTCTCCTCAGACCCCAGCACCAACAGCAGCCAACAGCACACGGTCTGGGCAGAAGGCAGCACGTGGAGCCACAAACAGGCCCACAGCAGACCCCCAGGCTCTGGGAAAAACCATGTCCTCTAGTGCGAGTAATTGCTCTCCTCTTGAGAACCACGTTCTGGCTTGCCTTCAGGGCCCAGACAACTAAGACTCTGCGAGCTGCCATCAGACTTCTCTGCCCATCAGGGCGCCCGGTGGCTATAGCAACACACCTCACCACTGCACTGACCGTACACGTCCCGAAGGTACAACCCGCAAGAGCAGATGGCCCCACCTCTCACAGCGTCCACACAGCTGCACTGCCAGCGCGCCTCATCACGTACCTGCAGCCTCATGTGGGGTTTCTTACCATCAGTTGCTTATTCATTAAAAAGTTGGATCTGATTTCTGCAAAATACGCTGACACCACTTTAAGGGAAAGGCTGGTGGCCCTACAGCCCCCTCGAGGGTGGTGCTGAACAGTGAGGAGGAAGCGAAACAGCCCGCAGACAGACACAGTGGCCCAGTAGGGCTGCTGGCCACACAGGACGCACCTTACGTGCCGGGCCTTCAGTAAGCACCACTGGCTTCTTCCACAGCATGTGTTCCCACCACACCCAAGCCAGCAAACTGTGGTGTCCGCATTCCGAGAGGCGGTAGCTTCCACGGGGGACGCAGGCTGTGTTCCCCATCTTGCACCTGGCTGTGCTGGGTCCACTCGAGTCCAGGGTCCTCGTGTTTAACTTCAGCTGACGTGGCCTCCTGGATACACACTGTGGGACCCACTCGAGTCCAGGGTCCTCGTGTTTAATCACTGACGTGGCCTCCTGGATACACACTGTGGGACCCACTCGAGTCCAGGGTCCTCGTGTTTAATCACTGATGTGGCCTCCTGGATACACACTGCAGCAACCCTCGCAGCACACGAGGTGAGCTGCTGACGGGAAGGAAGCGCTCTCAGAAGAGGGGCCCGTGTGGTCGTGGCCGTGTGCTCTTCCTGGTGATTTCCCATACCAGCCGTCAGGTGGTCTCTGCTGTCTGCTGCTGGCAGGTTGGCCACTCAGCAGTGGACAGCTGCCAGACCAGCCTCAGGGGGTGAAGCACCTGTGGCCAAAACCAGGGCCTCTGCCCCGACTCCACGGCTATCCTGCTTCGACCATGAGAAAGGGTGCAGTGGTTGCAAAGGCTGATACCAAAAGCCAGCAGAGACTTGAGGCTCGTACAGCTCAGAGTGTTCAGCCTCCCCCCAGATGCAGACACACAGTCCGCAAGCAAGCATCCCGCAGCCTCCCGGGACGCTCACCACTGCACGGGCTCGCCAGGCTGACCCACACAGAGACTGCCACCCGCTACGCGGGAGCCACAGCCAAGGAACCAGGGGACAGAAGGCTGCTGGGAGTGGCCTAATGACTGCCCCCAACTACTCTGGGGAAAGAGGGTTGCTCCAGACAGGGGGAGTTACGTCTGGAATACGGGCGGGTCCTCAGGGAACTGTTCGTACTCCCGTATCTGCTAAGTCCGTGCGAACCTAAAGCTCCGCTCCGAGGACTCACAGGAAAGATCCTTCAGGCATGAGGTGGGGTCACACCAGCAGATGAACCACAACTAACAGGGCTGAGAGGCCGGGAGTAAGTGGGTCCTAGAAAAAGCTACGCTAGTTAAGCTGCCAGCCCCTGCCAGAGCACCAGGCCCAGACCAGTGGCTCTGCTCGTTGCCCACTGCCCTGGCAAGGAGATGCACCTGTCAGCCTTTCCGTCGGCCAGCACGAAGTGCAGGAGTGTTGGCGGCGGCCCTACTGCCCAGCACTTGGCGGACAGTGTCCCGGCGGGCTGTGGCTGGGCCGTGAAAGAACACCCCAAGACATGCACACGCTGACATGTGGATTTTGTGTCTACACTGGAGAAGGGGATGAAGAATCCCCAACCGCACAAAGGAAGTCGGATCACATCAGCTGGGAGCACACTGTTTTTACTTTTACCTGGAAGTATGGTTTAAGGGGGTGGGGTGGGGGGCAGTTAGGTGTGAGCTGACAAAGGGGTGGGCAGCACGTGCCCGACTGTCTGTTGTCACATGGTATCCACCACCCCGAGGGGCTCCCTAGAGCCGAATGCACGTCCCAGCACATCCTCCCTTGGACAGCTGCAGGCTCCACGTGCCAAGGAGGTTCGAGGGCAGATAAGGAGCAGCCACGATTCTCTGAGGCACCTGAGCCCACAGGCCTCACCCTCCAGGAACCGCCCCACCCCAGGGCTTGCCCGCAAGGCCTCACGGCACCCACTGCATCCCCAGCTCCAGCGATGGGCCCTCATGGCCCAAGTCCATGCTTCTCGCCCCGTGGCAGGCCAGGGTGGACGTCTGGGTGCTGGCCACAGGGAAGCCAGTGAGTGAAGGGTGGCTCTGCCGTCCTCCGAGTGGCATCTTCCGGGGCCGCACAGCCAAGGTTGCTGCAGCCGTGTGATCAAGACAGCAGCCCGCCCGAGCTCGACAGCCCAGGGAGGGCGAATCCGACAACTGTGGGGAAAGACAGCCTGGGCCGATCACGTCCCCGCAACCCACTGCACTCCTGCTGGCCGCTCACACTGGGGCTCTGTTAGAACCAACAGCACCCTACTTACACATGCTTCCACTAGACTACTTCACTTGCGGGTTCTTAGCTAGGTGTATTAACATTTGTTTCGACTCACTGAAAGTCCAAATCTTCAACAAAGCTGTATGTGTAAGACTGACAGCTTCATTCCACTTGTTCTTGTCCTGGCTGGTGTAGACCACCAGGTTCTCAGTGTACTGCAGGATGGATTTTAAGAACCTGTTGAAAACATGAATGACGTTTCTTTATCCATTCAAATACAAACACTTTGGTGATTTAAATGTCTTCTTTTCATTCTTGGAATTACCCCAGAAGTCAATTCTGCTTATGTTTGTCTGAGGATTCAAAAAGAAAGAAAGCGCTCTAGTCTGACGATGGTTTGTCTGCTCAGAAACAGTGGAACCACTGCAGGGCCCCAGGAGGGTGCGTGCCTTTCTCCCAGGGCTGGGCCCCCCTCGGGAGCAGTGGCCGCACAGGAAGGCCACCCGTTGCACACGCCCATTTGCCCTCTGCTCTGTCCTAAGACGAGGTGCACCAGGCCCTCAGCACAGGCACCATGCTCTTGGGCTTCCAGCCTCCAACAATGAAAGGAACTTTTCTTTATAAATGACCCAGCTTCGGGTACTCTGTTACAGCAACAGGAAACAGACTAAGACAAATACTACAAAATGAGAATATGAGAAGACAAATAAGGGAAGAGCAAGATGCTCAGATGTGAGTGCTGGTGGTCACCAGAGGAGCTCCCAAAGGCTGTACAAAACCCAAGGACCTTCTGACGGCTACTTCCCAAAACTGGCATGATTTAAAAAAAATTTATTTATTCATTTGAAAGTCACAGCAACATGGAAAGAGAGAGAGAGAGAAAGAAAGAGAGAGATCTTCCACTCACTGGTTCACTCCCCAAATGGCAGCAAGGGCTAGGGCTGGGCCAGGCCAAAGCCAGGAGCCAAAAATTCTGTCTAGGTCTCCCACGTGGGTAGCAGGGACCTATGTATTTGGGCCATCTGCTGCTGCCTCCCTAGGCCATTAGCAGGGAGCTGGATCAGAGGCACAGCCTCGGAGACTCTACCTGAAATTCTGATTGGATGCCAACATCCGAGTGGCCACTTAACCTGCTGCACCACAGCTCCAGCCCCAGGTGTTTTTGTTTTTTAAAGATTTATTTATTTTACTTGAAAGGCATAGTTACAGGGATGGGAGGGAGAGGGAAAGGCAGAGAGCGAGCGAGCGAGAGACCTTCCATCCACTGGTTCACTCCCCAAAAGGCCACACTTCAGAGCTGGGCCAGTCTGAAGCCCGGAGCCAGGAGCTTCTTCTGGGTCTCCCACATTGGTGCAGGGACCCAAGCACCTGGGCCATCTTCCACTGCTTTCCCAGACACATCAGCAGACAGCTGGACTGGAAGTGGAGCAGCCAGGGCGGTGGCTTAACATGCTAGGCCACAGGTGGGCCCCATCCCCAGGTATTTTAAATGATGTAACAATTCCAGAAGAGCTCTGAATAAACAGAAACAGACCAGAAACAGACCCGGTGGTGTTTAGCTCTGCAGCCTGCCTGGGAACAGGGGAGCAGTCCCTGCACAGTGGAGGCTCAGCTCCAGGGAGCCCTGACAGCCACTGCTATACAAAGTTTCTCCTTGAAGATACTCACCAAGTGGGAACAGAGGCTTACCTCTGACAGATGAGAATAAATGTCATTCTTATTTTCTCTGGGTTCTCCTCAAGGTGCCCCAAGAAATTGAAATGTTTTTTCAATTTTGTACCTTGAAAATGTTCATATCCAAAGGGAAGTTAAAAGAATAAAAACAATGGGGCTGGCATTGTGACATAAGGGTAAAGCCACTGCCTGCAATGCCAGCATGCCACATGGTACGAATTGAAGATATGGCTGCTCCACTTCCTGTACAGCTCTCTGTTAACGTGCCTGGGAAAGCAGTAGAAGACAGCTCAAGTGCCTGGGCCCCTAAACCCACGTGGGAGCCCTGGAGGAAGCGCCTGACTCCTGGCTTCAGCCTGGCCCAGCCCTGGGCACTGCAGCCATCTGGGGAGTGAACCAGCAGATGAAAGATACTTTCTGTCTTTCTCTCTCTTACTCTTTCAAATAAATAAATAAATCTTAAAAAAAAATAATAAAACAATCCAAGTCCACAGACCCTTTGTCCATTTGTCCAACACGTAGTTCTCAGTGGGGCAATATGGCCCCCAGGGACAGCTGGGGGAGCCACTGGAGTCCAGTGGGTGGAGGTAGGGAGGCCACTCAGCTTTCCACTGTGAACAGGACAGCATCTCCCCTCAGAATGATCCTACGCAGGTGTGCTAGTGCCCAGGGGAGAACCCTGACCCACAGATGCTGACCTCTAACCCTGTACACGCGTGTCACTCACTCTCAGTGGGGGTCTATGCAGATGTCCTAGTGCCCAGGGGAGAACCCTGACCCACAGATGCTGACCTCTAACCCTGTACACGTGTCACTCACTCTCAGTGGGGGTCTATGCAGATGTGCTAGTGCCCAGGGGAGAACCCTGACCCACAGACGCCGACTTCTAACCCTGTACACGTGTCACTCACTCTCAGTGGGGGTCTATGCAGATGTGCTAGTGCCCAGGGGAGAACCCTGACCCACAGACGCCGACCTCTAACCCTGTACACGTGTCACTCACTCTCAGTGGGGGTCTATGCAGATGTGCTAGTGCCCAGGGGAGAACCCTGACCCACAGACGCCGACCTCTAACCCTGTACACGTGTCACTCACTCTCAGTGGGGGTCTATGCAGATGTCCTAGTGCCCAGGGGAGAACCCTGACCCACAGATGCCGACCTCTAACACTGTACACGTGTCACTCACTCTCAGTGGGGGTCTATGCAGATGTCCTAGTGCCCAGGGGAGAACCCTGACCCACAGACGCCGACCTCTAACCCTGTACACGTGTCACTCACTCTCAGTGGGGGTCTATGCAGATGTCCTAGTGCCCAGGTAAGAACCCTGACCCACAGATGCCGACCTCTAACCCTGTACACATGTGTCACTCACTCTCAGTGGGGGTCTATGCAGATGTGCTAGTGCCCAGGGGAGAACCCTGACCCACAGATGCCGACCTCTAACACTGTACACGTGTCACTCACTCTCAGTGGGGGTCTATGCAGATGTGCTAGTGCCCAGGGTGAGAACCCTGACCCACAGACGCTGACCTCTAACCCTGTACACGCGTGTCACTCATTCTCAGTGGGGGTCTATGCAGATGTCCTAGTGCCCAGGGTGAGAACCCTGACCCACAGATGCCGACCTCTAACCCTGTACACGTGTCACTCACTCTCAGTGGGGGTCTATGCAGATGTCCTAGTGCCCAGGGGAGAACCCTGACCCACAGATGCCGACCTCTTGTACACGTGTCACTCACTCTCAGTGGGGGTCTATGCAGATGTCCTAGTGCCCAGGTGAGAACCCTGACCCACAGATGCCGACCTCTAACCCTGTACACGTGTGTCACTCACTCTCAGTGGGGGTCTATGCAGATGTCCTAGTGCCCAGGTAAGAACCCTGACCCACAGATGCCGACCTCTAACCCTGTACACATGTGTCACTCACTCTCAGTGGGGGTCTATGCAGATGTGCTAGTGCCCAGGTGAGAACCCTGACCCACAGATGCCGACCTCTAACCCTGTACACGTGTCACTCACTCTCAGTGGGGGTCTATGCAGATGTCCTAGTGCCCAGGGTGAGAACCCTGACCCACAGACGCCGACCTCTAACACTGTACGCGTGTCACTCACTCTCAGTGGGGGTCTATGCAGATGTCCTAGTGCCCAGGGTGAGAACCCTGACCCACAGACGCCGACCTCTAACCCTGTACACGTGTCACTCACTCTCAGTGGGGGTCTATGCAGATGTGCTAGTGCCCAGGGTGAGAACCCTGACCCACAGATGCCGACCTCTAACACTGTACACGTGTCACTCACTCTCAATGATCCTGTGCTTCTCTCCCTAAAATGCCACATTTTAAGCCTGTGTCCAGCTTCCTGCTACTCACAAAGCGTCAATTTAAAGTCAGTCTCACAACACAAGCCACAGCCCTCTCTGCAGTGGGTCACCCAAGTGTTATGTAACTTTCAGGTCCCTAGGCCTGGAGGGTCACAAAGCGTAGGCTTCCCACAGGTGAAAGTGCTGGCTACACCACAAGTCTGGTCTCAGCCATCTGGACATGGCAGAGAAGGCCCTGTGGCCCCGCCTCCGGACGCTCTGCAGAGGTGCCAGGTGACAGCACCCTTGGCTCCTCTCCAGCACTGTTCCCGCAGACCTCCCCCCACCCCTCCGGTCGTCACTGTTACTGCAGACTCAGGATCTGCCTGTAGGCATGCTCAGTTTTCAGAACTACCTGCACAGGTGTCAGTCTCACATGGTCACAAACTTACAAGCACCCAAAGTCACAAAGATTAGCTAAGGGCCTGTCAGAATCTATGAAGGTTAATAAAATAATTACCAAGAAAAATAACTAACAGAAATTAAAATACTTTAAAATAACAAAACATGGTTTATTTCACACATGACACACTTACCTGAGGTAGTGCTGATATTCAGAAGTATCTTTTCCAAGAACCACATGAATGTTAGCCAATTCCAGCGCAATGAGCAGTAACATCAGGTAAAGCACAGGAGACAGAAGCCTGATACTGAGACAAACGAGCGCACATCAGCATTTGGCACCTTCCCAGGAAACGCACGTTCAGCCTAACCAACGCCTTCTCCCAGCACCCTTAGGTCCAAACCCCGCTGGCAGTCCCTGACTGGCCCTGGGCCTGCAGCAGGGCAGGGAGCTGAGGGCAGCCCTGTGTCCTTGGCCACGCCCAGCACCTCCTCACTCTTCACTCCTCTGCTCTCAGAGGACACAGGGGCAGCTGGGTCTGCATGTGGCCCCTTCCATCGGCTCTCTGCCCTCTGCTGCCTGTCGGTCTCTTTCCTACAACCTCACATCCAGCAAAGGATGCTCACTGTGGGCTTCAAGGGAAAACAAAAGCGTAAGTATCAGAACGTGCTCGGTGTCATCAGACTCAAACTCAAATCAAACTACGGTCTCATCTTCCCCGTGAAACGGGTGGAGGCATTTTAAAATTGTTCTAAGACGGATTAATATTTCAGAAACATGTTTTCCACTTTCACAAGGAAAATTTTCTCATAAGTTGCCACTAAGAACATAAATGAACATCACCTTTTGGGAAGGCAAGGCAGCAAGACCCATTACAACCCTCAGAAATAAAGACGCTGGGACAGTGCTGTGGCACAGCGGGTTAAGCCACAGCTGTGACCCAGCAGTCCATACCAGGAACTCAGGTTCAAGTACCGGTGCTCCACAGCAGGTCCAGCTTCCTGCTGATGTGCCTGGCAAGGCAGAAGACGACGGCCCAAGTGCTGGGACCTCTGCCACCAGGAAGGAGACCCAGATGGACTTCTTAGCTCCTGGCTTCAGTCTGGCTCAGTCCTGGCCACTGCAGCCATTTGGAGAGTGAACCAGTAGGAGGAGGATCTCTACTGCTCTTTCAAATAAATAAAGCTTTAAAATGCAGATACACACACTAATCAACTCCAAGTACTAGAGATTTGTGCCAAATGGTCCCTTCTTCATATAGCACATTCTGGGGCTGGTACTACAGTGTACCAGGTAAAGTCACTGCCTGCAGTGCTGATAACCCATATGGGCACCGGTTTGTCTTAGCTGCTCCACTTCCAACCCAGCTCCCTCCTATGGCCTAGGAAAGTGGTAGAAGATGGCTCAAGTCCTTGGGCCCCCACAACCATATGGGAGACCTGGAAGAAGCTCCAGGCTCCTGGCTTCAGATCAACCCAGATCCAGCCATTGTGGCCATCTGGGGAAGTGAACTAGCAAATGGAAGATCTCTCATTCTCTCTCTCTCTCTCTCTGCCTCTTCCTCTCTGTAACTCTCTGCCTTTCAAAATAAATCTTAAAAAAAAGAATAGCACATTCTGAAATATACCCTGCAAGTGGAGACAAACTCAAGTTAATCTTAATCAGAGTAGTGGAACATACATGCCCATACACCAAAACAGCAGACTTTTTAAAAAAAAAAAAAATCTTTTTAAGATTTATTTTTATTTATTTTAAAGGCAGGTTTATAGAGGGAAGGATAAGAGAGAAATATAGAGAGACAGAGAGATCTTCCAAACATTGGTTCACTCTCCAAATGGCCACAATGGCCAGCCAGGATTGTGCCAGGCCGAAACCAGGAGCCTGGAGCTTCTTCCAGGTATCCTACGTGGGTGCAGGGGACCAAGCACTTGGGCCATTTTCCTCTTTCCCAGGTGCATTAGCAGGGAGCTGAATCAAAAGTGGAATGGCCAGGACTCGAACCAACGCCCATATGGGATGCTGGTATTGCAGGCAGTGGCTTAACCCATTACACCACAATGCCAGCCCTTGGCAGATTGTATTTTTAAAATAACACGCCCATAGCTGTCTCTGAAAATAAGTGTCTCCCTGAAAGTAAGGCCAGGACTACATCCAAAGGTACGAGCCGACCCAACAGTGCTTCTGCAGAAGACAGGCCACACCTGCTCGCCATGCGCACGTAGTTCTGCCGCTGGCGGGACCGCAGCCTCCTCTCCAGCCACTGCCTGTGCCTCAGCTCTGCAGAGGCAATCACCTGGCCAGACACGCGCTGGCACTGGGAGCAGATGCTTCGCAGCACAACCAGCACCTCAACGACATTCCTGGGGCAGAACAGCGTGGGAACACGCATCCGGCAGAGTTCACCGAGCAGCCGGTGCCACCTGCAAACCAAGCACAGCTTTCAGGGGACACCGCCTGCCACGAGCGCTGCACACACCACCCGCACTGCAGTCACACAACCGTGAACACTGTGCATCTGTGTCTCATCAGACACATCACGCCTTGTGCAGGTGTGTCACAGCTCATCCAGGCATTCCTCCCACAGCAGTAACAGTGGGAATTCCACCGCAGCTACCAAGCTTACAGAGGTAAACAGAATACAGTTAAGCTAACTCCCCTGGTTTGGTTAGTGTATGTTTCGTAACTCAGAGCAGGCCCTAGCGCTTACTTCTCAGGGGCAGAATACTGTGAGTTCCCACACACACAATGCTCGGGCGCATGGCGGTACAGCTCTTCCAGAATCTGCGTAATCAAAGAGTTGCAGGCACTTGCTTCAGCATCACCTTCTAATCTGAAAGACAGAACACATTTAAGAACACATGACAGGCCGGCGCCGTGGCTCACTGGGCTAATCCTCTGCCTGCGGCGCCGGCACCCCGGGTTCTGGTCCCGGTTGGGGCGCCGGATTCTGTCCCGGTTGCCCCTCTTCCAGGCCAGCTCTCTGCTGTGGCCAGGGAGTGCAGTGGAGGATGGCCCAGGTCCTTGGGCCCTGCACCTCATGGGAGACCAGGAGAAGCACCTGGCTCCTGGCTTCAGATCAGCGCAGCATGCCGGCCGTGGCGGCCATTTGGGGGGTTAACCAACGGAAAAGGAAGACCTTTCTCTCTCTCACTAACTCTGCCTGTCAAGAAAAAAGAAAAAAAAAAAAAAAAAGAATATATGACAATTGCAAAAATGCACACATTGGCCACTATGCAAACCACTGTTTACTTTATGGTTCACTGAGCTGAAACTTGGTTTCCCCAAATATAAAATGAAACAAGCCACAATCAGAGACAGCAGTATAAATAACGATGCAGTCTGCCAATGTGCCACACAGACACAGAAGACCTGAGAGTCAGCAAGGATCGTGCCTACCCAACAAACAGGTCAGCTACATTCCATGATCCAAAACTTCTACCTCGATCCCACTTTCCCCTAACCTGCAGAACCCCATTCTCCTCATATACAGGACAGCTCTCAGTGATTCCACAAAACCTGCATTCCTGTGCTGTCTGTGCAAGGGCCCCACCCTGATGGCTGTCACACCCAGCACTGCCTCCACCTCCCCCTGCACAGCCCATGAGAACCAGCGCTGCCTCCATCTCCCCCTGCACAGCCCACAAGAACCAGCGCTGCCTCCACCTCCCCCTGCACAGCCCATGGGACCCAGCACCACCTCCACCTCCCCCTGCACAGCCCACGGGACCCAGCGCTGCCTCCACCGCCCCCTGCACAGCCCACGGGACCCTGCACTGCCTCCACCTCCCTCTGCACAGCCCACGGGACCCAGCACTGCCTCCACCTCCCCCTGCACAGCCCATGGGACCCTGCACTGCCTCCACCTCCCTCTGCACAGCCCACGGGACCCAGCACTGCCTCCACCTCCCCCTGCACAGCCCATGGGACCCAGCGCCACCTCCACCTCCCCCTGCACAGCCCACGGGACCCAGCACTGCCTCCACCTCCCCCTGCACAGCCCATGGGACCCAGCGCCGCCTCCACCTCCCCCTGCACAGACCACGGGACCCAGCGCTGCCTCCACCTCCCCCTGCACAGCCCATGGGACCCAGCACCACCTCCACCTCCCCCTGCACAGCCCACAGGACCCAGTGATCCTTTCTCCTACTCCTCCAGCAGCCTTGTGGGTAAGGAAACACTTCCATTTTTAAATTTTGAGAGGCAGAGAGACAGAAACTACAGGGACAGACAGAATTCCTATCTACTAGTTTATTCCCTGAATGCCCACAACAGGTGGGGCTATGTCAGCCCAAAGACAGGAGCCAGGGACTCAATCTGGTCTCTCGTGTGGGTGGCAGGGAATCAATGACTTAAGTCATCACCTGCTGCCTCCTAGGGCATGCATAGCTGGGAGCTAGAGCTGGGAGCTGAGCTGGGACTCAAACCCAGGCCCTCTGACACGGGATGCACACATCCCAGCCAACAGCCAGCAGCTGAGCCAAACACTTGCCTCAGGAAACACTTTTGAAGGTGACTGTAAGTGACAGCCCCCAGGTCTGCCTGCCCCAGGTCACGGCCCCTGACTGCTCTCAGTGGCTCTAACGCTAGGGCCCCTGGATAACACCCACCTGCCTGCTTCCCGAGTGTTCTCCTCGGGCAAAGGCAGCAGAGGCCAGATCCTGATCTTCTCCTCACAGCTCAGCACCTGGGAGGAAACATTTACTCACTTGTAACGTTTTCGTAGTAACATCCTAGGAAGTGTGTGTTCAGGCTATTACAGATGCTAACTCCATCTCTAGAAAAACAATGTTTGTAAACCGTTACAGTCCTGTAACATCTTAGAACCTGATGGTGGTCTCAGGTGTCCAACATACTCCATGAGCAACAGCTGCTGCCACCACCCAGGGCAGTGGGTGGTTAACGTCTAGGGCTGCCAATGCCGCTGCCAACCCTTCTGACCTGGAGATGGGCCTCCCCTGGTTCCCAGGGCCCCGGGCTTGGCTGAAGCTGCCATCATCCAGGGACATATCTGTAGAACAAAGCAGCACTGGTGCCCACAGGCCTCCAGCCAGCGTCCAGCATTCTCTGATGGGTCACCCACACAGCAGAGCTGTGAGGGCTGCAGCTCCATGACAGATTCCTCGTCAGAGCCGACCCGAAGGTGAGCTGAACACGGGCTGCTGACACCACTGAGCTGGGTGATCGGTCCCACGGCAGAGTGTGGAACAGCTGAAAGGAAGGGACGCGTGATGGACGCAGGGCAGTGGGGAAGGGGAGGCCCCTCTGGGGCAGGGAAAGGACAGTCAGGAGCGCAAGGGAGCCCGGGAGCCTGGGCAGCTCAGGTCGAGGGAAAAGCCTGCTTCAGCGAGCTTCTTTCACTCTCACACTCCTCACTGCCTTCTCCCCATGCTGGCCCTGGCACTCCCAGCTCTGGGTGACTTCCTGGGAGCAAAGTTAGCTGCAGCGCAGCCACCAAACCAGAACAGCCAGGTTCACTGGCTCCCAACAGAACCGCCTGACCCTAGGACTTGAGGAATCCTTCCCGCAAGCAGTCGTGGATGCTGACGCCCTGGGAATGCCCTCCCTGACGGTACTTTCCGAGGACACCACTGGTCAGGCCATGGCCCTCTCCAGGCTCCGTTCCACTAAGTTGCCTTTGAGAGCTCCCCCAACCACCTGCGCTGACTTCACAGCTTCCTTGGAGAGGGCATCTCACGGAGGGGCGTCCACGTTCCAGCCCCGAGTCCTTGGTTCCTGGGGACGGCCCTCTCCTGCCCTGCACTATGCCTCATACAGACGCAGCACCTCAGACAGTTTCCAAATTGGAGCCTCCTGGCAGGAGAACTTCAGTTTGCTGTCTGTGGGAGTTTCTAAGTTAACAAGCACTGGTTTTCTACAGAAAAAGGAAAGGCCATCCCTCGCCACTGACAGTCTGCTACTGCCCTGGCTCAGTGGGTAGGACGCTAACAGCCTCCACGGCACTACACCAGACCCTTGCCAGCACTCATCCACTTGCCAAAAACACCCAGCCATCACCATCAACCGTTAGACACAGGAGTTGAGCCACAGAGGCCCGGAGACTCTGAGCAACCCGGCCAGGGTCACACAGCTGGTGGTGCACGGGCTACACTCTGCTTGCCGGGGCACCCCCAGCCCTCCTAACAAAGACTCACACAAACCCCTCTCCCAAGCATTTGACCTTCAGCATACCTGCTTTTTAAGCTGGGAAATCGGATGGCAGTGAGAACTATAGCCTTCTGCAAGACTTATCAATGACTTTATTGATGCTTTTTCCTATTAGAAAAGAGCAGACATTAGTTACTACAATTTCTAATTAGGCTTTTAGTTCTATTTTATTGAATGGCAGGTCACTGAGAGTACACAGTTCTTACTATCCTCTCTCAAGTAATTCTATTCACCTATAACAAAACAATACTTTTCATAAAAATGGACTTGATATGGGAGTCAAATAGCTCGATGACAGCCCACAAAATGATTTTAAATGAAGCTGATTAACAATAATTTGCAAAGGCCTCAACCACCCTTCATCCACAATGCAACAAAATTACAGACACATAAGGAAGAGATTCCAAACTGAAAAATCTAATACTTGCCTAAAAAAACTAAGAAGCGATCATTTAAACACTGTATTAACACAATTAAGAGAATTTCATAGTGATAATCATGTAAAGTTGAGTTAAATGTTGTGTTGCTAAACATATACTGAAAAAAGTACAAACAGCATTTGCAGCTGATGTAACTGGATAATCCCAGTCCACAACCGAAACCTACTAGAAACAAAAAGAAAAGTCAGGGGACTGACAGACAGTTGGCAAACCTAACAAGCAGGAACCAGGAATCTCAGCGGCACAAAATAACCAAAACAGCCATAAGACAACTACAGAGGAGACGTGCTGCCTCACACCCACCCACTACACATCCACCCTCAGAGAGCGCTCGACAGTGCCCTTAGAAATCTGTTCTGGCCGGGTGGTGGGAAGCAGGTAGGGGACGGTGGACTTCGAGCAGAGAACTGAAGTGTTTGTGAGAGGCTCATGCTGGTTGCTATGCTGAGAACAGAGAGAATCACGGCAGAGACACTGGTCAGAGCCAGCACTTTCCAGGGGAGGCAATGACAGGTAGGTGGGGGAGGGGAGGAATGTAAAAAGGGGCCCACGTAGTGAACATCAAGGGTGGACGGCTTACTTAAGAGAGGAGGCTGAGACAGGACCAGCCATCTGCAGGAGGGAGGAGTCACTCAGGAGGTGGGGCTGGGGCGCAAGGGGCACTCAGAAGGGGCTGGGGCACAGGGGGTACCTGCAGGAGGAAGGAATCACTCAGGACAGGGGGCTGGGGCATGAGGAGTGCAAGAGCAGATGTTAAGTTGAAGACATTATGTTTCCAAATAATTTTCAATAGTGTAAAAATGCCATTATTTCTAAATTGATCCATAGGAGCACAGTCCTTTTTGTTTGGTTGGTTTTGGGTGAGCTAGGGGATGTGTGGTCTGTGTTTAACTACAGTAATGTTCACACAGAATAGTAAGAATTAAAGAACAATGGGTTGGGTGTCTGGTTCAGCTTAAATAAAACATAGTTCAGGACACATAAATCCTATACTGGACTGCCTCCCTCTCTCTCCTCCTCCTCCCTGTCCCTCCTCCTCCCTCTCCCCTCCTCCTCTTCCCTCTTCCCTCCTCCTCCTCCCTCTCCCTCTCCCTCCTCCTCCTCCCTCTCCCTCCTCCTCCCCCCTTTCCCTCCTCCTCCTTCCTCTCCCTCCTCATCCCTATCCCTCTTCCCTCCTCCCTCCTCCTCCCTCCCTCTTCCCTCCTCCTCCCTCCTCCTCCCCCTCCTCCTCCCTCCTCCTCCCCCTCCTCCTCCTCTCCCTCTTCCCATCTCCCTCCTCCTCCCTCCCCCTCCTCCTCCCTCTTCCCTCCTCCCTCTCCCTCCTCCCTCCTCCTCCTCCCACTTCCCTCCTCCCTCCTCTCCCTCCCTCTCCCTCTCCCTCCTCCTCCTCCCTCCTCCCTCTCCCCCTCCCTCTCTCCTCCCTCTCCCTCCCCCTCCCTTCCTCCTCCTCCCTCTCCCTCCTCCCTCCTCTCCCTCTCCCTCTCCCTCCTCCTCCTCCCTCCTCCCTCTCCCCCTCCCTCTCTCCTCCCTCTCCCTCCCCCTCCCTTCCTCCTCCTCCCTCTCCCTCCTCCCTCTTCTTCCTCCTCCTCCCTCTCCCTCCTCCCTCTCCCTCCTCCCTCCTCCTCCTCCCTCTCCCCTCCTCCCTCTTCCTCCTCCCTCTCCCCTCCTCCCTCTCCCTCCTCCCTCTCCCTTCTCCTCCTCCCTCTCCCTTCTCCTCCTCCCTCCTCCCTCTCCCTCCTCCTCCTCCCTCTCCCCTCTTCCCTCTCCCTTCTCCCTCCCTCTCCTTCTCTGTCCTCCTCCTCCCTCTCCCTCTCCCTCCTCCTCCTCCTCCCTCTCCCTCCTCCTCCTCCTCCCTCTCCCTCTCCCTCTTCCCTCCTCCTCCGTCTCCCTCTTCCCTCCTCCTCCTCCCTCTCCCTCCTCCTCCTCCCTCTTCCCTCCTCCCTCTCCCTCCTCCTCCTCCCTCCCTCTGCTGCCTATTCCATCTCCCGCTATTGTGGACCCTGGACGGCAGCAGTGCTGGCTCAAGATGTTGGGTCCCTGTCACTGATATGGGAGACCCAGGGTGTGGTGTTTATCTCCTTGGCCTTTGGCCTTTGGCCTTTGGAGAGTGAGCCAGAAGATGGGAGATGTCTCTGACTTTCAAATAAAATAGGTAAATAAAGAATTAGGGAGCCAGCGGGAAAATTCTGGAAAGCAAAGCTTCCAGAAGCTTCAGTGAAGAGCCCAGGCCCCCAGGCCAGCTGTGTCTACGTGCACCAGACACAGAGGCTGCCTGCCTCTCCACTGGGCCCAAACTTGCTGGCAAAGCTGGATTCATCTCCCACATGAGATAAATTCCAGCTGGTCAACAGATATAAATGAAAGGAAAAAAAACAAACAAACAAACAAAAAAAGTACTAGGAAGAAAATATATTTATAATTGTGGAAAGCAAAGAAATGTTTAAGAATGACTCCAAATAAAGAAGCCAAAAACACAAAGAGTCGAAGCAACATGGACCATACACTGAAAATGCCAGATAAGGGTGACACACCAAGGGAAAATAAACCAAACCAAACAGGGCCAGGCAGTTCATGGAAGAACAACTACCGACCCAACACACGACAGCAACCACCAGAAAAACAAGGCTGTGGGGCACACATTTGGCCTTATGGTCAAGGTGCTCATGTCCCACATCAGAGCACCTGGGTTGAACACCAGGCTCCCAGCTCCTGCTAACGTGCACCCTGGGAGGCTGTGGTAATGGCTCAAGTCTGCCACTTGGGACCCTGATTATGTTCCCTGCTCCTGGCTTCAGCTGGGCCCATCCCCATCATTACAGGCATTTGGAGACCAAAGCAGCAAATAGGAACGAACTCTCTCTGCCTCCCAAACAAATAAAAACAAATTAATGACACAACAAAACAAACCAAGGCCTTATTGATATCTTGTGCCTTAGAACTTGACTTTTACAAATTTGCTTACACAAGTTCCCAAATGAACAAAGATGTCCACTTCAGCACCACAGCTGGGAACTTTCCAGACCAGGAAAACTGCTTCCACCATCAGTGGAGGGTAAATAAGACACTTGTGGGAAGGAGTGCCAGACAGCCATGGAAGAGTGAGGCGGAACAAAGACGCCAAAAACACAGTGGCGTATGTGGGAAAGACGTCCAGTTACTGGCAGTAGGTGTTTCTGGGAGATGGGTACCAGAGGATTCCATTTTTTACACTTACTTTTCTTTATTTTCTGAACTTTTAAACAATTTTTTAAGATGACTATCCTAAGTAGAATGTGAACAAAATATTAAAATTTCCGTAACAAGCATTCCAAACCTTGTGTTCTGCAATAACAACAGGGTTGGCTTACTGACAGATGCAAATGCCACTTCCCCAGTTAAGAGACATCTGCAGGGGCTGGCGCTGTGGCACAGTGGGTTAACGCCCTGGCCTGCGGTGCTGGCATCCCACATGGGTGCTGGTTCGAGTCCCGGCTGCTCCACTTCTGATCCAGCTCTCTGGTATGGCCTGGGAAAGCAGTAGAAGATGGCCCAGGTCCTTGGGCCCCTGCACCCACGTGGGAGACCCAGAAGAAGCTCCTGGCTCCTGGCTTCGGATTGGCACAGCTGCGGCCATTGCGGCCAATTGGGGAGTGAACCATCGGATGCAAGACCTCTCTCTCTCTCTGCCTCTCCTCTCTCTGTGTAACTCTGACTTGCAAATAAAGAAATAAATCTTAAAAAAAAAAGGGAGAGAGAGAGACAGCTATAAACATTTCCTAATATTTGGTTAATGATGTTTTATAATTTGTTCTTTGGTTTTCGGCATCATGTTAAACACAAATGTGATTTCAAGAAATGAGACTCTGCATGAGTCCAGACTGGACTAAATAGCACTGACAGATGTGTCACAGAGAATGCATGTACACAAGCAATCAAGTCACCGGTGGGTGCCACCTGATCTGATGGGGAACATGTAACTCAAAGTTAAAACAAGAGATTAACAGCTAATTAGATCTGAAAAATAAACTACATTCTTTCATTGCTGAATGGCAAGGATTCTAACTGATCATTTTTGTTCTCGCACGTTACCTTATAAACTGCTGACAGCTCTTCATCAACAAACCTCAGTAAAAGGACAACAGAAAATCCAAGCAACTGATTGGTCACTTCTTTTGGAAATTCAGGTAAGTTGATCTCCCCATGGCTTAAGTGATCTCTTATCCGGGGACCCTCCTGATGGTTCAGGAAATCCCAGAGAAAGTCCTTTCATAAAACAAACAGAAAATGTTTTGTTAGTAACCCAGGAAGAAGAGAGAGTGAGTGCCACAGCCCACACAGGGCCAGGCCTGACACAGCCTGGAACAGAAAGTGGACCCAGAGATGGAGTGCACCAGCCACATGAGCACGGCGCCCTGCTGGAGCTGCTGCTCTCTGAGCACCTGGGACCCTCTAAGGACACCACTAAGGGAGACAGAGCTGCGAGGATAGCGCCGATGCTTCGGTTAAGCTCCTCCTTCTGCCCTTACCCTCCTCTAAGGAAAGGAACTGAGGGAATCACAGCTCCTGCGTGTGCAAGCACAGCCCTTGAACTCGTGCCTCCTCAGGCTCTCCTCACGTGCTCTTTCAGAATCCCTCTTTTCTATCTTGGAAGTCCAAGTACAAAGTGGCCTCTTCCATCAACAGCCTAAGCTCAAGACCTCTCCCTCGGGTTATATGGAAGAGGTCAGAAAACCCTGGACCTAGAAATCTACTAAGACGAAAAAGAGTATTAGGCAAGAGACGACAAAGAATGTCAGATATGAGATGACAAAGAATACTAGATGAGAGGTAGAAAAGCATACAAGACAAGAGAAAACGAAGAACGTTCGACACGCTGGGTCAGTCACATTGGCTGTGGCAGAAGTGCATGCCCAAAGGGCACGAGGCGTCATGCCAGCATCAGCACAGAGGTAGCGCCTCAGTCTGCCACTTCTCGGGGTATAAACATACAAACACCCATTTACAGTCACAAAACACAGAAAACAGACAGAGCGAAAATGGCCCCACACGGTAATTCTTTCCATCCAACGCCCAGCCTCATCAGTCACATTTGACCCTAGTACCTTCCACAGTATAAATACACATGGCCAACAAGTTCAAACGCTGCTTGGGAACAGCGAGGCCTAGGAAAAGACACTGATCCACCTGCATCAAGCACAGGACCTACGCTGGAGCCATGGCTCTGCTGACAGGTGACAGAGCTGACAGCCCAGCAATGGCTCCAGCACCCAGTTCCTGAGCACAATACAGCCAGAACCAATCCCACCTCAGGGACATTCTCATCACATCCAAAAATGCAAGAATAATCGTGAAAAATACACAATACCTACCATAGCAGGTTCTCCAAGGAAAAGAGGAAGCTGATTGATTTCGCCATCATTCAAGTGTTTTGCCAACATCTAAAACACCAAAAATAAACACAATTGTGAAACTCAGACACATCACAGACACACCCTAACACACATGCACAGATACACAAGCACACACCAAACACACATACAAACATACATAGACACAAACGAACATATTTTTAAGGTCATTACACTGGTTAAAATGTTTTTCTAAACAGTGGTTGCTACATTTTGGGGACACTCCTTCATTCATTTAATTCACTTGGAACCAATGTAACACTACTCTTCAACTGAACACTATAATATATAATTAATATATAATTCAATACTACCTTCAACTGAAAGTTCTGTAGGGATGTGTGCACACAGCAAGCTGCCGGAACCCAACCCCCCCGACTCAGCCCTGCAGATCTACCCTAAGCAGACTAGGCTACTCTGTTCAATCGTCACACTCCCAAATGTGTTGTGATTAGAGACCCAGTTGTCTACCAATGGAATGAACTCTGCAGGCAAGCAGGCACATGATTAATCCACCACACTTAGCAACCTAACAGTTGTCTTAAAGGCAAGATGATCCAAATGCTCAAGTCTCTACACAGCCTCTCTCTCAGTCCCTCCTGCAGCCTGTCTGTCACCCTTCATGAAAGCACCACCTTCTAGAACCACCCATGGGTGACAGGAGATTTCTCCAACTGTAATGACCAGCTTCACAGTCACCTTTCCCCAGAATGCAGAAAACACTCTACAGTGGATGACAGGAGGTAACAGCACCTAGCAGGAGGTAACAACACCTAACAGGAGGTGACAGCACCTAGCAGGAGGTAACAGGACATAACAGGAGGTAACAGCACCTAGCAGGAGGTAACAGCACCTAGCAGGAGGTAACAGTACATAACAGGAGGTAACAGCACCTAGCAGGAGGTAACAGGACATAACAGGAGGTAACAGCACCTAGCAGGAGGTAACAGCACCTAGCAGGAGGTAACAGGATATAACAGGAGGTAACAGCACCTAGCAGGAGGTAACAGCACCTAGCAGGAGGTAACAGTACATAACAGGAGGTAACAGCACCTAACAGGAGGTAACAGTACATAACAGGAGGTAACAGCACCTAGCAGGAGGTAACAGCACCTAGCAGGAGGTAACAGCACCTAGCAGTTGAGTTACATTCCATACCCAAGGAAGACAAACGCTAATCCTGACTCTACGATGAATACCTCTAACTAATGACAGCCAGTGACATTAGCACCTCCAGGCATTTTCCAGCTCGGAGCTTCATGTCACTTCAGAAAGTAGATTAGTAACACTGGGTCTTTAAAAACATGAAAACTATATTTAAATCTAGTCTCTCTCTATTTTTAATATATTACTCCAAACATTTTTCTATATGCATATGACTTATGGTTTGTCTTTAATTTTGTGCTTCAATTAGTGTTGAAGTTGGAGACCTGTGTATGGTTCAGGTCAACAACTGGGGGCAGGCATTATGGCACAGTGGGTTGAGCCATAACATGAGAGTCAGCATCCCACACGGTCACAGGTTTGAGTCCTGGCTGTTCCACTCCTGGTTCAGCTCCCTGCTAATGCACCAAGGAAAGCAGTAGAAGACCAGTCAAGTTCTTGGGCCCCTGCCACCCATGTGGGAGACCTGGATGGAGTTTCAGGCTCCTGGCTTCAGCCTGTCAAAGCCTGGCCATTGCGGCCACTTGGGGAGTGACCCAGTAGTTGAAGCTCTAACTCTCTGCCTTTCAAATAAATAGATAAAAGAAGACAATATTTGGATGGTTTCAAGTAACCTGTAAGTGTACTTACATCATCAAAGGTGGTATAAAAAGCTGTTGACTTCAAAAAAGGAAAGAAATGAAAAGAAATGATTAAAGCAAAATAAAAGTAGAGTAACATTATTCAAAACAGGAAAAATTTCTGGGACATGGCCCCAAACCTAAAACTTTCTTATGAAAATGAACATTAACTACCCACAACTGTGGAAGAGTCATAAAATAAACATGCTGTAAAAGACACAAAAATACAGTGAACCGAGTAACCGAGCTGTGTTAAATGCTGCCCTTACAGTCTTGTGGCTGTTAGTGGTAAAATTCACAGCTGCAGACTTCTCTTTACACATCGCTACTCACACCCAGAGTGTTTCTCCTGGTGACTGGCGCTTAGGCACAAGTGAGCACACTTTAATACGCTCTCCAACAAAGGGCCTCTGTTTTAGCTGCTACCTGATGTAACCAGCACAGAGCCTGTGGGCACAGGCCCCAGGGCCACTCTCTCCTAGTCGCACTGGAGCTTCACATCTCTACAAGGGAAGCCCCGGGCAGCTTCTTTAGCTCCACAAACACAGGTTTTCCCTGGAAAACTTTCAACCAAACACAGCTTGATTATCCCTTTATCCAAGACCTTGGGTCCAGAAGCGCTTACAATATTTACTGCCTGGATTTTAGACTATTTGTACTTATAAAAGCTACCTTGGGGAGGGGAGCCAAGTCTACAAACAAAATGCACTTATGTTTCATATACGCCTTACACAGAGCCTGAAGGTAGCATTACATGCAAATTTCAGCACACCTGTGTCTTGATGGCGACCCACCAGGTGTGAGCCTCTCACCTGTGGCACCAGAGCAGCACTGTGAGTGGTTCAGGTCTCAGATCAGAGATGCTCAACCTGTGTTATTAAACGTTCTCCAACACACAGCGTCCTGGACGTGACCCTAAAACCTCTTCCTGAGCTCTCAAGCACTGCTGGGACATTTCCTGAGCTCTCCTCTAAACATTCAATTGTCTTCTAAATATCCCCACTACTTTTTTCAAAATGCTGAATTTTTTCATAAATTACATGTATATGAATTCTGTCTAGTTTTATGGAATCAGGAGAAGCGTATTCTCTCCTATGACAGACAAGCTCTCAAAAGCCACTCTTGCTCATATTCACAACTTCCACGGATCCAAAAGAGACTGAGCTGCAGAAAGTGCTCAGTAAATAATGGTACTTACACAGTCACTGGTCTATTTATAAAACATCGTCCTGTATGCACAACCTTATAAACTGACCCAGGTCTTTCTGAGGAAGAGTCTGGACTAAAACTCAGGCCATTCCTTGTCAAATTGCATGCTCTGTAGACATATCCATGTCATTCGTTTGCATAGCCAACTGACAAGTACATCATCAAGTTTATTTATAGCTTAATTTATATGGCCACACAGCAACTGAGCTTGCTACCAAACAGCCAGTTGCAAGAGTAATCCATGAGGGCTATGACGAATGAGAATCTATTTCTTTCTGCAGACAATGAAACTTCCCTCCACAACAAGGTGCTGAGAGAAGTCCATGTCCTAACCCCAGGCATGGCACCAGGGGCAGCATCAGGAGGGCTCCACTCAGAGCCAGCAGAGGCCTCCACCAGAATGCAGCAAATAGAGGGAGTGCTCATTACTGATGGGACATCGCTAAGTTTAAAAGACAATTGAGAAATATTATAGAACTACCAAAACCAATCATGATTAAAATAAACATAAATCTGACAAAAGCATTGTAATAGGAAGTCACAGAAAATGCCAGTAAAACCTTCCAAAGAAAATTTTTCACTAAAAAATTCATTTCAATGAGAAATGAAATCATTTTTAGTTTCAATTAGGTGGGGCTGGCATTGTGCATAGCACATAAAGCCACTGCCTGCAATACCAGCATCCCACGTGTGCACCAGTTCATGTCTTGCTGCTCCACTTCTGATCCAGCTCAATGCTAATGGCCTGGGAAAAGCAATGGAAGATGGCCCAAGAACTTGGGCCCCTGACACCAACGTGGGAGAACTGGATGAAGCTTCTGGCTCCTGGCTCTGGCCTGGCCCAGTCCTGGTCACTGTGCTTAGCTGGGGTTTGAACCAGCAGATGCAAGATGTCTCTGTGTCTCCTCCTTTCTCTGTAACTCTGACTTTCAAATAGATAAATAAATCTTTCAAAAAAACTTTCAGTTAGGCACAGAAAGCTGTCCATGCAACAAAAATCTCATCAACAATAAAAGCAAGTGTGTACCTCAGCAGTCAGCAGTCTTTTGGGACATTTGTTAACTGTAGCAAAAACTTTCCTAAGTCCAGTCTCCAGTTGTGTCAATAACAGTATGGCACAGTCAGCAAACCTGTGAAATTAAAAAAAGAAGAAAGCTCTACATTTCAAAACTAAATATTGATGCCAACACCACAATAACTATTCTGTGGTCTAAATATGACAATGCTATAGTAAAAGCAAGTAACATTATTTACTAATAGGAGAAACAAAATCAAAGTTTCATTAGACTACTAATTTTAAAACTATATTTCAGTGTTTTAATTTCAATGAACTATTTTTAGTAGCTTCAGGATATAAAATGTCATCAAATGCCAGCCTAACTCATCTCTTCACCTCTAAAGAACACTCGAATAGGACTCAGTGGGTTTTCAAGACATAAACATGAAGGTAATGTCACCTGTCAAGATCAACTCATTGCCCTCCTGATCTGCACAAGGTGAAGGTTTTCCTCCTGTATAGCGTTCGCTCTTACGCAAAGAGAACATAAGGGAAGGGGGTTTGGCCAACAGTGAAGATGCTGGTTGGGAAGCCTGCAAACCACATCCAAGTATCTGGGTTTGAGGCCCTGCTTGCTCCCAACTCCCGTTTCCTGGGAGGCAGCAGGGATGGCTCAAGCGGTTGCGTCCCTGCAACCCATGTGGGAGACCTGGACCGAGTTCCTGTTTCCAGCTTCAGCCAGCCCAGCCCAGCTGCTGTGAGCATCTGGGGAGTGAACCAGCAGATGGAAGCTTTCTCTCTGTTTCTATTTCTTTTTCTCCTCCCCGCCCCGTCCCCATCTCTACCTCAAATAAAAAATGCAGATAAAAATTTTTAAAGACACAAAATAACAACAAAGTTGATTGCTCTTTCATGATGCTCTGGCACTGCACACATTTCACTCATAGCAAGAACTCAAAAATACGTACAACTTGATTCTGAAAAATGATGATGTGAAATGTATGACACATGTTTAAACATAATTACAGGCTGCCTCTTCCATTATTGTATGAAGACATTCAGCCCCACCTCCAAGTGCTTCTCCAATGACAAAAGTGTGAAGGACAAGGGCGTTGAAGGTGTCCAACCACACTGCCCTCCTTACCTGTGTGACCTGAACCTGACCAACGCAGCTTCCCAGTATGGCAACATGACTTTTAATATAAAAGAGGATTTTTTCATGATTTCTTCTAACACTGAAAGTACTTCATAAGGAACATCTGTAAAACAGCAAACATTTTTAAACACAACCATACTACGCAACTCAAAAAGATGGGGTGCTGCCCTCTCAGGGCTGACCACAGTTCCCTGGCACAATGCTCCCCTCAAAGAGGGGGACAGCCTCACCTAGAGCCACAGGCGAGGGGGACCTCAGGGACATGGGAGGGGGGGCACGGACTCCTGCACCTCTGTGGTGATTCAGGGAGGCCAGTGTGGAGGGGGAAGTCAGGGGGCCAGTCGAACATACTGGCCAGAAGTAAGATGTTTTCAGAAGCTGCGGGTGATCCTTCACGCCACAGGCACTCTGGGTGTCATGATTTGAGGACAAATGCTCAAGAACGGAAAGGAGGAGAAGTGCAGTATAAAACGGCCCAAAGCCATTGGGCCATCTCTACATCTGAGGAGTCAATGAGCTCTGAGCTCCATCATCCACTGTGATTCAAGGAGATCAGCACAGCTGTGCTTGAATCCCAACGCACATAGGGAGAGTGTGAGAAGAGGTTGAGTCGTACGTGGTAACGGCTCTGAGTTCTTCAAGTAACTGTCAAAGCCACCTTGCCACTGCAGGACTTCAAGTCTAAATACTGTCGTGAAGACGCAGTAGGAGGGGAAATTGAAACAGAGTACTTGCCAGGAAAAACAATCAACTCCTCTAGGTTCCTAAGAGTTATGAGGGATCGATGTGTCAACGTAAATGTGGTTTGTTGAAGGAAACTCTTCAGTAACTGTCCCAATCCTACTGTCAACAGCATCATCATTGAACAGTATCTAGGGAAAAATAGCACGGAGATCTGTTAGAAACACAAGCTCAGTCACACACACATGACAGCTTTACTTTCCAAATATTTAAAATTTAAAAACCAAAGCATTATCAACTTGCAGAAAATTTCCCCTAGATACAAGTACAGGTATTCAGCTGTGCCATAGCTGGAAAAAACAGTAATTATCTCAGAAACTCTGGGCCCCCTCCCGCCTGGGACCTGGGTGCACCACCACACCCTGTGTGACCCCTGCAGGGCCTCCAGGCTGTGTGGGGCTGAAACCACACCCCGGCAATCTTCTCTAGCCTCACAATCCTGTCTCACCCCTCATGCCTCTCTCATGCATCTTCCTCTCTCATGAATTCAAGCTAAAATAAACTCTTAAGCAGATGAAAAAGAAGGAAAAGTACTTTTCCAGCATCTTACTTTGGAGGAACCTCTTGGGGTGATGCAAACCCATGCCACAAGATGTTCCGCAGGTTGAGTCCCCGTGGAGAGCCAATGAAGACTTTCAGCACATCCACCTGAAGCGAGAGTGCAGGTCACGACTAGAACTAGCACACCAGATGGCTCGGCTGCTGTAGAACAGTAATAGTACTAATCACACAGCCAGCACCCTGAGTGTTGCACATGCATGCACTGACCCACTCATCAGTCCTCAGAACCACCTCTCAGGGAGGCTGGGAAAGGCACTGCACATCCAAGGTCCCTGACATCGAATCAAGTGAAACAGAAAGCAATCAACACAAACTCGGCATCTGGCAGCGTGGACCTGAATGGTTAAGTAACAAGACAGCATGGAGAGCTAGACCAGTGAGGCTCCAGCCCTGTGCCCCCACCTCCAGGTCACCTGTCTACACAGTGAGCGGCACAGCCACTGGAGGAGTTCCCAGAGCACTGCTTCTGGGTTTGAAGCACCACACTGCACAAGAGCTATGAACAAATAGAAGATATTTAAATCACGTCATGTGAAGACGTACGCACATAACCAAAGCTGTCCTCATTCCTAGGAAACACTGCCACTGTGTGGCAGACGGATTAAGTCTCCTTCAGAGAACAGGTGGGAATTACAAGGAGGGTTTCAGCTTGGCCCAGCAACGCTAGACAACAGGTTCCTCACTGCAACTTCAGGAAGTCTGCTCTCCCATTAATTTAATGTGCTTCATTTACATCTTCTGGGCAAACAGAGATACCTGTGAGAGTGGCTAACAGCGTCTGGTGGTAGGGAAAGGCTCCCAGCAACCAGGCAGGAAAAAGAGCAGAGCAGAGTCAGAATCCAGGGCAACATCCCACGCTCTTCCCAAAAGCAAGTGCCCTTTAGGCTAGAGGGATCCACAGCACTGAGTGCAGGGTGCTGCTGAGGGCCAGGTTCGTAGCCAAAAGCAAAGGGTTGTTGCTCACTGCTGTGGTGAGCACACCTTTCTGAACGACGAGGGGTTCCTGGGTTTCTCCTGCCTCACCCTGTTGCCTACAGGCTGTTCTTGTCTTAAGTGACTTGATGTGCACCCTCTTCCAGATTCTGTGACTTTTTTTTAATCAATATCCAAATATTTTTTCACTGCTAGTTTAAATGATTGCCAAGGGCCCGAGTTCCCATATGTCAAAATATTAATATTCTAAGGAGATCCAAGATGGCAGAATAGAAAGGGAGCTTACTGCTCTGGCCCAGGGAAAGACAGTTTAAAAAAAGTGTAGAGAGTGCAGTCTCAGGGAAGTCTTAGGGAGAAAACGTCAGAGAACACTCCACACAAATTAGAGGGACACTGTGCACCTACACGGAAGGTGCGGACACACACAACTCAGGACCCCAGCAGCTGAGAACCTCAAGTGAGACCAGTCTGCAGCAGCCCACGCCATTGGCAATAAAGCTACAGGAAGAGGCTAGCATGGGCCCAGCTTGGAGCCCTGCGGGGGATAGTGTATCTGCCAAACTAGAAGAGAAAAAAAAGGGGGCACATTTCTTGCTCACTGACCACCTAGCACCGGCGTCCTCTAACTAGCTGAGAGGGCACGCCACTTTGAACATATGAAACAGCTGCACCAGCTCGTGTCCACACACCCAAAAACTAGCTGAGAGGAGATGCCTGAGTCTGGCTGGGTGAACTGTCAGGGAGCTGGGTGCTCAGGCTGTGGGAACCTTGTGTGCTGGGACGGTAAAAACACTGTGGCTGTGTGGGAGGGCCCAGGGTGTGGCTGGAACTTTGGGCAGTCACTGTGGGTGGCTCCACATGCTCAGGGCTGATTCCCTGGTGAGTGAGGGTCATTGCTGCAGGAAGGACCTGTGCTTATACCAAAAACTACACAGATCCTTTGTGTGGTCCTTGTGGATGAGCAGGTCAATGCTGCACCCACTGGGGCTGGCGCCCAAGCACTGGCCTTCTCTGAGGAGCAGAGGTGAGCATGAGACTACACCAACAGAACTGAACAAACCCTCCCCTCCAATTAAAAAAAAGAGAGAGAGAGGGAGATTTACCACACCCAACCTGGTGTCACCTTGGATATTCCCTTCACTCTGGAGCACTGAACAGAGCTCCCTGGCCACACCCAGCACACGTCTCTGGGTATTCACGGAGTAAGTCAACACTCCACTAGGCCACAGAGGCATAGTCCAAAGATTAAAGCCATCACATGGAAAAAACAAAACAAAAAAGGAACCAATAAGTATCTCTACAAAAGCCAAATAATAAATACAGCAATTCAAGGAACAAGAATACAGAAGACAACATGATGCCCCCAAAAGAACAAAACACCTCAATATTAGAATGTGAAGATGAAGAGACTGAAGAAATCCCAGAAATGAAAATCAAAAATTTGACCATAGGATTACTTCAGAATAAGCAGCAAATCTACAAACTAATGAAACTCATACATGACATGAAAGAAAATTTCTCCCATGAAACAGAACTTAATATGAAATCTTGGTGATGAAGAATTCAATAAAAAATTTTTTAAATGCAATGGAAAGACTTAACAAGAGACTCAGTGAAACAGAAGAAAGAATATACGAGTTAGAAAACAAATCTCTGAGCCGGCACCATAGCTCGCTTGGTTAATCCTCTGCCTGCGGCGCCGGCATCCCCTATGGGCGCTGGTTCTGGTCCCAGTTGCTCCTCTTCCAGTCTGGCTCTCTGCTGTGGCCCAGGAGGGCAGTGGAGGATGGTCCAAGTGCTTGGGCCCTGCATCCACATGGTAGACCAGGAGGAAGCACCTGGCTCCTGGCTTTGGATTGGCGCAGTGCCAGCTGTAGCAGCCATTTGGGGAGTGAACCAACAGAAGGAAGACCTTTCTCTCTGTCTCTCTCTGTCTCTCTCTCTGTCTGCAACTCTACCTGTCAAATAAATTAAATAAATAAATAAAACAAATCTCTGGAAGTTTTACACTCAGACAAAAAAAAAAAAAAGAATAAATCAGAAAACTAACAAACAATGTTGGAGATCTATGGGGTACTAGCAAATGACCCAACATAAGGGTCTTAGGAATTCCTGAAGGCGTGGAAAGAAAGAATGGAATAGAAGGTCTTTTTAGAGAAATAATAACAGAAAACTTCTCTAAATTGGAGAAAGGGACACCCAAGTACAGGAAGCACATAGAACTCCTATAGATATGACCAGGAAAGATCTTCACCACGACACACAGTAGTCACACTCTCCACAGTAAAACATAAAGAAAAGATTCTAAAATATGCACAAGAAAAACACATTACTTTCAAGGGATCTCCAATTAGACTCACAGCTGACATCTCATCAGAAACCTTACAGGCTAGGAGAGAATGGCAAGATATATTCCAAGTCTTATGAGAGAAAAAAAAAAAAACTATAACTCAGAATATTGTATTCAGCAAATATCTCATTTATGAATGAGGGTGAAATAAAGACCTTCTGTAACAAAAAGAAATTGGAAGAATTTGTCACCACACCTCCAGGCCTGCAGAAGATGTTTAAGGATATGCTGCACACAGAAACACAGCAACATGGTCATCACTACGAGAGAAGGTAAAGGCAGAACATCTCCCAGAAGTTGTAAGGGCATAAGATAAATGAGCTTTCAGTGCATCTCAAGGACCTAGAAAAACAACAGTAAACCAAACTCAAAATTAGTAAGAGGAAAGAAATCACTAAAAATAGATAAGAAATAAACAAAATTGAAACCAAAAATACAAAAGATCAGTGAAATGAAGAGCTGGTTGTGCTGGCGCTGTGGCGTAGTGGGTAAAACCACAGCCTGCAGTGCCAGCATCCCATATGGACGCCAGTTCAAGTCCCAGGTGCTCCACTTCTGATCCAGCTCTCTGGTATGGCCTGGGAAAGCAGTAGAAGATGGCCCAAGTCCTTGGGCCCCTGCACCCATGTGGGAGATCCAGAAGAAGCTCTGGCTCCTGGCTTTGGATCGGCGCAGCTCCAGCCATTGCGGCCAATTGGGAAGTGTTCCAGTGGATGGAAGACCTCTCTCTCTCTCTGCCTCCCCTTCTCTCTGTGTAACTCTTTCAAGTAAAATAAATAAATTAAAAAAAAAAAAATGAAAAGCTGGGTTTTTGAAAAAATTGACACAAAATTGACACAACATGGGCCCAACTAACCAAAAAAAGAGGGAGAAGACCCAAATCAATAAAGTTAGAAATGAAAAAGTAAATGTAACAGACACCACAGAAATAAAAAGAATCATCAGAACTTACTACAAAGATCTGTATGCCAACTAACCAGGAAACCTAGAAGAAATGGATAGATTCCTGGACACATACAAGCTAACCAAATTGAGCCATGAAGAAAAAGAAAACCTAAACAGATCAATAACCAAGAGAGAAACTCAATCCCTAATAAAGACCCTACCAAGAACAAAAAAAGCCCAGTATCAGATGGTTTCACTGCTGAATTTTACAGGAAGTTTCAAGAAGAACTAACTCCAATTCCTCTCGAGCTATTCAAAACAATTCAAAGGGAGGGAATCCTCTCATAATCTTTTTTTTTTTTTATTTGACAGGTAGAGTTGCAGACAGAGAGAGAGACAGAGAGAAAGGTCTTCCTTCCATTGTTCACTCCCAAAATGGCCGCTATGGCCAGCACTGCGCCAATCCAAAGCCAGGAGCCAGGTGCTTCCTCCTGGTCTCCCACGTGGGTGCAGGGGCCCAAGCACTTGGGCCATCCTCCACTGCCCTCCTGGGCCACAGCAGAGAGCCAGACTGGAAGAGGAGCAGCCAGGACTAGAACCTGGCACCCATATGGGATGCCGGTGCCACAGGCAGAGGATTAACCAAGTAAGCCACGGCACTGGCCCTCCATATTCTATGAAGCCAGAATCACCTTAATTCCTAAACCTGAAAAAGATACAACAGAGAAAGAACTACAGACCAATTTCACTGATGAACATAGACACAAAAATCCTCAACAAAATACTAGGCAGTTGAATCCAACAATACATCAGAAAGATCACTCACCTGGACCAAGTGGAATTTATCCCTGGTTTGCAGGGATGGTTCAACATTCACAAATCAATGTGATACATCACATTAACAAACTGGAGAACAAAAACCATATGATTATCTCAATAAATGCAGAGAAAGCATCATAATACCCTTTCATAATGAAAACTAAGAAAAATTGGTTGCAGAAGGAATAATCTTCAACACAGTCGAGGCAATTCATGACAAGACAAACCCACAGCCAGCATCCTATTGAATGGGGAAAAGCTGGAAGCATTCCCACTGAGATCCAGAACCAGACAAGGATCCCCACTCTCACCATTGCTACTCAGTATATCCTGGAAATTTTAGCCAGAGCCATTAGGCAAGAAAAAGAAATCAAAGGGATACAAACTGAGAGTAGGAAGTCAAACTATCCCTATTTGCAGATGACATAATTCTATATAGAGAGGATCCAAAAGACTCCCCCTAGAGACTATTGGAATTCATAAAAGAATTTGGTAAAGTGGTAGGATACATAATCAACACACAAAACTCAGTAGTCTTTGTATACAGAGACAAAGCTATGGCTGAGAAAGAGCGTCTAAGATCAATCCATTCACAACAGCTAAAAAAAAAAAATGGTGCAGCCACTATGGAAGGCAGTATGGAGATACCTCAGAAATCTGAATATAGACCTACCATAGGACCCAGCCATCCCACTCTTGGGAATTTACCAAAGGGAAATGAAATCAGCATATGAAAGAGCTACCTGTACCCCCATATTTATTGAAGCTCAATTCACAATAGCCAAAACATGGAATCAGCCTAAATACTGGTCCATTAAAGACTGGATAATGAAATTATGGGATATGTACAACATGGAATACTACACTGTGGTAAAAAAGAAAAAAAAAAGGAAGAAAGAAAGCAAGAAAGAAATCTGGTCATTTGCAACAAATTGGATGAAACTGGAAAACATTATACGTAGTGAAATAAGCCAGTCCCAAAGGGACAAATTCTATATGTTCTCCCTGACCTGTGATAACTAATAGAGCACCTAACAGGCAATCTGTAGAAATGAAATTGACACTATGAGAAACAATGACTTTGAATAGTTCTTGTGTTGATATTAATAGTTTTTTTTTATATTCTTTGTTGAACTCTTTACTCAGCATAAAGTTAATCATAAGTGTATAAAGCTAACTGAAAATAGTTGTTAGTAAAAAAATAAGAGTGGGAATAGGATAGGGAGGAAGAAGAGAGGAGGAAGAGGAATAGGAGAGAGTGTGGGAGGGCAGGTATGATGGGAAGAATCACCATGTTCCTAAAGTTCTAATTATGAAATGTATGAAGTTTGTCTTCTTTAAATAAAAGGTTTCTGGGGAAAAATAAATTAAAATATCAATATTCTAGAACAAAAGTGTAATATCACTTTTTAAGAGGTCAAAACTTCATTCTGGACTAAGTTAGCATTTAGTATTAATGTATGAGTGATCAAAGCAAAATACTTCCACCTGTCCCTGTGATCCAGGTTATTCCAGCACTGTGGACCTAGGACAAAGTGCTACAGGTGGCTGAAAGAGGAGGAATTCTGAAATTAAAGGCAGGAAGGAGAATACGCGTGACCACTAATGTGACTGTTTTCCTAAAGCAGCATCAGTTTTGGAAGAACCAAAACCAAGGTGTTTTTGTTTGTTTTGTGCTGTACTCACTCTGCAAGTTTTAGAAGAACAAGCTTACCACAGACTGACCGAAGACCTGGGCAAGCTCCTCAGAGGCAAGCAGATCTCTTAAGAGAAAGGGACATTCTTTCCCAATCAGTAAAAACACCTACAATGGAGACAAAAATTATGTACCAGTTGCATGCTAATAAGCCAGTTAATGTTAATAAAAACATAACTGGTGAAGCAGTACAGTGGACAAAAGTATTTAAACACCAATGTGTTGATGTTATGACCATTCAAAAAGAAAAATATTAAAAATAGGCACCAAATGATTATATTTTAGAGGAAAACAATAATCTAGGAAACTTAGGGCAACTTCAAAATAATTCAATGTTTGTTCAGATAACTTATTGGAACAATATTGAGAGTATAACACTTACATCACCCAAGGCTCGTTCTAGACATGATGTCAGTTTCATTAAGCTAAGAGAAATAGCAGGCGATTGTAGACTTTTCAAGGAGTCAAATATTTCAGGAAATAACTGTTCAGAATAAAGCATGTGTTAGAATTTACACTAATAAGTATTTCTCAATGTAATACTATTTATTGAAATTCAAAGTCTAACTATCTCAACTAGTTATTTAATATTTGCACCCAAAAAATATCTCTCAAAGTAACAATACTAGTTATTGAAATTAAAAATCTAAGTATTTCAACTGCTATATTTTCATATTTTGGAATAGTAAACATCTCCTTTATAAATGTTACAATGCCTAAAGAGTCAAGAAAAATATTTATGTATGTGACTTCTTTGAAAGGTATCTCAATGTTTATTGAAAGCAAAAAGCATGGCAAACTTGTGAATTTAACAGTCAACCATTTTGACCTATATCTCTCATCTCCAATTTTGCAATAGGTTGGTTCTCAATAACAGATCAACATGGGCAGCTGACCTGACACTTAAAGAAACTTCTCTAAAGAGAGAAACCATGATCCTTCTACTCTGCAGAAGGAAATCCAAAGTATCTCATAATTAGACTTATTAAAGTTACTACTTTATTATAGTCATTTAATGTGCCAAATGAAACAGAGAAAAACCTGACAAACAAGATTTGGGTTAGAATTCAAACCAACCATCTTCCCCTCAACCCTCCGTTAACAATTCAGACATTCCCGTCCCTAGCCTGCTGGTCCCACCACCTGGAGATCACCTTGTATCTCTCCATAGATCTCTCTTTAATTCTGGAGTAGTCAGTTTTTCTTAGCCCAAGAGGAGCAGCCCTGCACCAAACACCCTGGGGCCACTGATCCTGATAAAGTTGGACTCTAAAACATTTTTGTTCAAAGGGACATGTTTCTCAGCTCAGGCTTTGGAAGCCTTGCATAACAGCTCAGGTTTCTCACAACCCTCAAGATTTCTTCCAGTTGGAAGGCCTAGGATTGGAGACCTTTTTTTTAAGAATTATTTTTTTTATTTTATTTGAGAGAGAATGCCTTCCATCCACTAGTTCACTACCCAAATGTCTGTAGTCGCTGGAACTGGGCCAGGCTGAACAGAACCAGAAGTCAGGAAGTCAATCCATGTCTCTCACGTGGTGGCAGGAGCACAGCCACTTGAGCCATCACCTGCTGCCTCCCAAGGTGCAAATTAGCAGGAAGATGGAATTGAGAGCAAAGCTGGGCATCGAGCCCACCCACTCCAATATGGGAAGTGGGTGCTTTCACCACCAGGCCAAACACCTGCCCCAGAGACCACTTTAAAGCTGGCAAATAATAATTACCAGAGGATCTAAGTGGTATTTGCAAAGTCTTTTATTTGTAAAGGTTGTTCAAAAGCCAAACCTCTGAAAAACCCGTCCACTGGAGTGACGGAGCATATCGAGTTTCAAACTGTCCCTTAGTCAGAGATAAGAAATGTAGATGGACGGCTTCACATACAGGGCCCAGCAGCCGCACACTTCCCCAGTAATCCAGGTCTTGGTCTTAAAGGATGAGAAAACAAGTTTTAGTATCACAGTTCCATATCATGCAAAGAAAAATGCATAAATTATCATAGAAAAAGTGCTTCAAATATAAAATCTCCACAAAATCAACAATCAGCTTATAACTGAACATACGAGAAAAATATATTGGAAACTAATTACATAACACTTATCTGATTATAAAATAAAAATACATTACGTATGAAAAATACAGTAAAGTTCAAACAGGAAAAAATATTTTCTTCTACATCTTTAAGTGTAAATAAGTTTATACACAACAGGTTTATGTGCATACAACTGTCCCTCTTTATCTACAGTTCATTACTGGCAGTCAGCCAGAATCCAAAGAAACTAAACACACACCGGAGATAATGAACTTCTAAAGTTTCAATCTGCGCTCCTTTAGGAGCAGTGTGATGAGATTTTACATCGTCCTCCATTCCAGCAGCCTTGTCTAGTCCATCTACAGTGATCTGTTACCCACCAGCTAGTCACTTAGGATAGTCTGTCATGGGACGACAGTGCTTGTCTTCAAGTCACCCTTACTTTACTTACTGATGGATGCAAAGCACAAAAGTCATGATGCAGAAGAGGCAATGGGCACAAAACACGCGAGGACAGATGCCCTGGTGCCACGTGGCAATGCTCCAGGCACAGGGGAACCAACAGCATTTGCAGGTTTTGGTGCTAGCCAGTTTCAGGCATCCACTAGGACTCTTGGAACTTACCCCATACAAGAGGGAGGGCTATTGTACGTATATTGTAACTTGACTTCATTTACTTAACATTTTTAGATTATGAGATTTCTGACAATAAATTACTCATAAACTTTTTTGTTTTGTTAGTCTGGGACTTAAGAATCACATGGTTCATGATTTAAAAATACACAGGACTGAAAGCATTCCACATGGTCCTTCAATTCTTCTTCTATAGCAACTACTTTTATTAACTTCCTGGGGGCATTTACAAACACTTACACATATACAAGCAAATATAAATATATGCTATTTTCTTTCACTTAGAGAGATCACAGTATCAAATGAGTCTCCTCAGTCTTCTTCATCACTGCCTAACAGTTCACTTCTGCATTTATTGTTACTTACTGAGCCAATCCCCTACCAATGTTTGGCTGTTCCCAGATTATTAAGCCATATGTTTATTTAGCTGTTCAAAGAATGCTACAAGGATCAAATGTGATTTGGCTCCTGAGCTCATGTAGAAGTTTAAACCCCAAAGTGACATTAACAGCAGCAAGAAAGAGAAAACTTAGTACAATGACAGGTTTAGCAGTGGGGCCTTTGATTCGATCGGATTAGGTTGTTGGGATGGGCCCATGACCAAATCATGGTGGCTTTGTAAGGAGAGACTCAGACATACACACCCTTCTTGCCCCATGATGTTTACCACCACCTCACAGCTCTGCTGTGCAAGATCACCATCTCCAGATGAGGACCTGGGGTGGGAGGGCCGCCCAGTCTTGGACTCTGAACCTCCAGAACCATAAGCCCAAATAAGCCTTTCCTTCACCAGGAGCTTGTTTCACATATTTAGTTGCTCTAATGAAAACCTGACCAGCACACACTTTCAGATCCATGAGTGTAGCACATGCCTGGGAATGGAACTGCTAGGCCAGACTATGTTCATTTGAGTGCTGTAACAACCCTAATGCCTGCTCCAAAAGCATACACAAGTGACTATAAAACATGTAAAATGATTTTATAATTATGGTCATGCCAAACCTGCAATTCACACGCCTTCAACAGAGAATCACCTTGAGGCCCCGGGATCTGCATGATCACCTGCCCATCAATCCCAGCCACCTCCTGACCCTCCTGCTCACACAGGGCTCTCTCCATCCAGCTCTCATTAACCTCCCATACTTCTCTGGTCTCATCCTCTCTTCTCACACTGATTCTTTTCTCCTTTAAATCAGGCTTGGATTACAACATCCTCCAAAAAAAAGGAATTTTTTTCAGACCAAGACCAAGACACTTTCAGTGGAATGATACGGACTGATCTCTGGGTACTGACCTGACTCTGCATATCTCAAACACTCTGTGACTGTCTTCCAATACACTTCACCACTCTGAGATACAACGCTATTGATAGCACAAAGTTCTTTGACTTCAAAACCAACTTTACAAATAATGTCATACACTGAGGGAGAAAGACATGTGGTAACAGGTTCCTCTATTAGTACCTGAAATATAAAACACAAAAGACACTATTCAGTAGGACACAAAAGCAGAGGGACATTATTTATTTAAGTTACACGAAAAAGTCTATCTAAAGTGCAGAATGTACTTAGCTGTAACTGCTGTTACCATGCTTTCTGGATAATACAGCTAAACACTAAGATAATTTATGTACATGTTTTCAAATAGAAGATAAACACTGAAAATTCTTTTATTGATCAGAGTAATTAAGATGCCAGTTCACAGAAGCTCAATGTGTCTTATAAATAGGGTGCCATTCCTTTTTGTTTGTTTGAAGGTTTTTATTTAATATGTACAGCTTTTAGGGATATAGTGTTTCTTCCCCTCATACCTGCCCTCCCACCCACACTCCCATCCCACCTCCCACTCCCTCTCCCATCCATTTTCCATTAAGATTCATTTTTAACTGACTTTATATACAGAAGACCAACTCTTTACTAAGAAGAGATTTCAACTATTTGCAACCACACAGACATACAAAGTATAAAGTACAGTTTGAAGACAAGTTTTACCATTAATTCTCATAGCACAACTCATTAAGGACAGAGGTCCAGCAGGGGGAGCAAGTGCATAGTGACTCCTGTTGTTGATTTAACATGAGCTGCCAAGGCTATGGAAGCATTTCGAGTTCACAAACTCCATTGGGTTTTAGACAGGGCCATATGCAAAGTGGAAATTCTCTCCTCTCTTCAGAGAAAAGTACATCCTTCTTTGATGGCCCCTTTTTTCCACCAGGGTCTCACTCACAGAGATCCTTCACGCAGAACCATTTTTGCCACTATGCCGGCTTTCCATGCCTGAAATGCTCTCATGGTGTTTTCAGTCAGGACTTAGGGGCTGATTCTGAGGTCAGAGTGCTGTTTAGGGCGTTGGTCATCCTATGAGTCCGCTGTGTGGACTGCTTCCCATGTGGGAACTCTCTCTCCTTTGTAATTCTATTGTTATTACCAGGCACTTGGGTCTTATTTATGTGATCCCTTGACTGATGGTCCTATGTGTATGATCAGTTCCATACTTAATATGATCACTTTATCACATAAGATAGGTTTAGTGCCACCCAGCTAAATGGGTACCATTCCTTTCAGCACTCCTTTACCACCTCAGAATTATCAAAATAAGCTATTTCTTATTGGGAGTGGGAGAGCAGAAAATCAAGTAAAACGAAAAAAAGATAAAGGAAACCTCTGACTCAATATATTGAAGGAAACTAGAATGTCACCTCAAAATATTCTTTGGGGGTTGGCACTGTGGCACAGCAGGTAAAGCCGCCACCTGCAGTGCTGGTATCAAGTCCAGGCGACTCCATTTCCAACCCAGTTCTCTGTTATGGCCTGGGAAAGCAGTAGAAGATGGCACAACTCCTTGGGCCCCTGCACCCGCATGGGAGACCCGGAAGAAGGTCCTGGCTCCTGGCTTCACATCAGCGCAGCTCTGGGCGCTGCCGCCAGTTGGGGAGTGAACCAGCAGATGTAAGACCTCTCTCTCTCTCTGCTTCTGCCTCTCTCTAACTCTTTCAGGTAAAACAAATCTTTTTTTAAAATATCCTTTGATATGAAAATTATTGAGTTGAAGACAAATAAGCAGCAGCAGAGGAAAAGCTGTCTCGCTCCTCCTCATTTTCTGCCTCAATAGAGTATACAAATTCGCTTCTACTGGACACAACCTCAGACTCTTCAGGGAGGACACCAGGGAAGCTCAAGTGAACCTTAAGCCAGTAATTTCTTCTCATATCTGCTTCTCCAGTTTCTAACACTTGGAAGCCTAAAACCGTTTCCTTTTGTCCTGTTATTTCTTGACAGGTTATTTTTTATTTATTTGAGAGGCAGGAGACAGAGCCCTCATCCACTGATTCACTCCCCAAATACCCACACTGATGGTAGCTTTGGGATCCGTAAGGAGGGAAGGCCTATACTTCCGGGAAGAAAAGTCCTTGTCAAGGTCCCTGTGGGTGCCTAAAGGTCAACCAATGAGGATCAGACCCGCCTCAACCTTTAACCCCCACACCCTGAATCTATACCAGGAGCCCTCCCAATCTCTGACGCATGACTTCTCCACCCCCACTCTGTCGCCCAGGAGTGGAATCCCAATAAAATAATTGATTCGTCCTTAATTCACGTGTTCCCTGTCGGTCTCCGGTTTCCCGCCCAGTTTAGGGCCACTGCACATCCTGCCCATTCACCCTGCTGGAGGTACAGCGTCAGCTAGCGCTGGTGCAAGACCAGCCAACCACAGCCTTCCAGGGAGGGCTGAGCGTAACAGAGGCCCCCTAAGCGCGCGGTCACACTCCTGGACTAACCCCAGTCCCGGCGCGCGTTCAGGACAGAGACGAAACCAGGCGCTTCCTGGTGAGAAGCCGGCGGCCCGGGCGCCTCCCCGCCCCCACCCCCAGGATCGCCCGCCGGCCGCGGCCCACGCACGGGCCCGCTCTGCAGCCCACCGCACGGCCGGTGGGGCACGACGGCGCGGACCTTCACGGCCCTCCGCGGGACGCGCGACCACCAAACCCCAGTCCCGCACTGCGGGCGCGTCTACCCTCACAAGCTACTGAGGGCAAACCCCGGGGCGGCGGAACGCGGGCGCAGCTGGGAGGCGGCCGGAGAGGCCGCTCGCACCGGCGTCCACGCCGCTCCCGGCGCCCACGCCGCAGTGCGCCACGGCCCTACCTCCATAACTTCCGGCTCTGCGCGCGCCGCAGCCCGCCCCTGAACTTCCGGCGGGTGCGCCGCTTCCGGCCGGGCGCGCGAGAGTTCCCGACTCTCGCGAGAGCTGCCGAGATTCTGGCGGCGGGATAGGGGGCGGGGCCGTGGACATCTTGAGGAAGCAAAGATGGAGAAGCGAGAGCGGGGCGGGAAGCAGGCGCCGAGCCAGGCCCCTCAGCAGTCGCCTGTCACGGCCAGGAAAGAGAGGAGGCCGAGCATGTTCGAGAAGGAAGCAGTGAGTGCGAAGCCGCGCGGGGAGAGAGCGTTTCCGAGCCATTCAACCCCTCTTCCCGGCCGCCTGGCCTGCGGACCCCCGAGGCGGGGCGCGCACTTGGTTTTGCTTTGGTTTCTTTTTTCAGTTGCGGGACTGAAGGCTGAGCTTCGGACCCGAGTGCCTTTGGTTGTTTGTTTTTGGCTTGTGTTGTTGCTTCGTGAGGTCGAGCCTTACATGAGCTGGTAAAGGTCATCTTCAGTACTTAGTACTTAGCTTGAAGATTTTATGAGTACCCTAATATTTAATTTTTTACAAAATACCTAACTTTAGTACATTTAGTGGCCATGACAGATGCAATTTTCACAGAAAAAAAAAAAGAGAAACTAACTTATTTGATATTAATGGAAAAAGGTCAGTTTTATTTGGTGGTGTAACTGGGTGACCGTTTTCTTAATAAACTCAATATTCCATCTTTTATTGAGACTTCAAGGAGAAAGTTGTTACGCGGAAGGATGCAACACTGCAGTGATAGAGCTGAGACTAGAACCTGTGACCTGGAGCTCCTGGCCTACTTTTCTGTTTCCTGCCTCATGGAACCCGTAATTGATAGGCTGAAGAGGACAGGCACAGCGTGTTTTTGAAGACCCTGACATACGATCGCTCCCAAGTAACGAGTTCTCGAAAAAACTTGTACCGGCATTTCAGGCTCTAATGGCTCTTTGGTGTCTGTGTGTCACAGAGAGGAGAAACACACTAAACAGGCCAAGCTCACATAGCTAAGAAGAGCAGTGCGGAGGTGGAAACCTGAATCAACCGTTAAATTCGTGCTTCAAATGCTGTGCTGGGCCGGCGCCGCGGCTCACTAGCCTAATCCTCCCGCCTGTGGCGCTGGCACACCGGGTTCTAGTCCCAGTCAGGGTGCCGGATTCTGTCCTGGTTGCCCCTCTTCCAGGCCAGCTCTCTGCTGTGGCCCAGGAGTCCAGTGGAGGATGGCCCAAGTGCTTGGGCCCTGCACCCCATGGGAGACCAGGAGGAAGCACCTGGCTCCTGGCTTTGGATCAGTGTGGTGCGCCAGCTGTGGCGGCCATTTGAGGGATGAACCAATGGAAAGAAGACCTTTCTCTCTGTCTCTCTAACTCTGCTTGTCAAAAAAATAAAATAAAAAAAAAATGCTATGCTGAATTGCCTGGCACTAAGTCTGAAGTACAGCTTACCAGCAGTAAAGAAAAATTACATATTTGGAAGCAGACGAGGGTGACTTATATGAATTTACTGCCTAATAAATGTCTGAACTACTCTTGAAAATTAAGCTAAGCTCAGAATGAGGAGACAGATGTTCTAGGTTATGTGCTAAAGTCTAGGATTAAGGGGACTTGGGCCGAGGCAACTTAATTTGATATGCAGTGATCAGTTATAGCTTGTGGATTTGGTTAGCATGCTTAGAAAGCATACCGCCTAAGTAGTGGGCATAAAAAAGTAGCTCAGATATAAAAGTTTCTGTAGTTTGGCTTATCAAAGCTTAAAAAGGCTCCAGAGAGTTAAAACTGTTTTCAAGATTCTCCTAGGAGGAAGCTCAATATTTTTAGGAATACAAAAATACGCAGCATGTAAGAAGATAAGATACACAGTGTCTTCTCCAGTTAAATATTGAAAACATAAATAGGAAAATAAAACTCAAAATGAGAAGAAACAGTGAAAACAGGCTGAAAATGACATAATGGTAGAATTGTATAAGGGGGGGGGCCAGCGTGGCACAGTGGGTTAATGCCCTGGACTGAAGCACCGGCATCCCATGTGGGCACCAGATTGAGATCTGGCTGCTCCACTTCCAGTCCAACTCTGCTATGACCTGGGAAAGCAGTAGAGGATGGCCCAAGTCCTTGGGCCCCTGCACCCGCATGGGAGACCCGGAAGAAGCTCCTGGCACCTGGCTTCAGATCCGTGCACCTCCGGCCATTGCAGCTAATTGGGGAGTGAACCATTGGATGGAAAACCTTTCTCTCGCTCTCTCTCTTTCCCTCTCTCTTTCCCTCTCTTTCCTCTCTCTGTGTAACTCTGACTTTCAAATAAATAAATCTTTTTTAAAAAAGTATAAAGGGACACTAAAGTAGTTTTGGTAAAAGTTACTGTATTAGTTTTCATCAAATCAAAGCAGTTATGATTTCATTCAGTTTATTTAAAACTGTAAAAGGCTGGGCATGTTAAATCTAACTTGAACTTCTGTATATGAAAACTACCATGTCAGAGATGAAAATGCACTGAATGAAATTAACAGCAGATTAAAAAACTGTAGAGGAAAAAATTAGTGAGTTCAGAGACTTAGAGGAAATAGAAACATTGAGCAGAACTTCAAATGGACTAATGTAATTTGAGTCACCAAATGAGAAAAAAACGAGGAGGGGACAGACAATATTTGAAGAACTGTGGATACAAAATTCCCAAATTTATTGGAAACTATAAAGCATAAATCAGTGAAACTCAGTAAGCCAGTTCAAGAAACATGAAGAAAATTATGCCAAGACATACTTGAAGCCAGTGATTTAAAAACTAAAGGACAACTAGAAAAAAAAATTAGGTACAGGGGAAAAAAAGGAATCGGATTTCTTCTCCAAACAACACAAGATAGAAAACACAGAGGCATCATCTTTGCTGAAAGAGAAGTCTTCAACCTAGGATATTAGAGCCCCTGGATTCAGTACCCAGCTGTTAATCACTCCAGCTTCCTGCTAATGCAAACCCTGGAAATGGTGATGGAACAGGTGTGATCAGGTTCCTGTCTCCCACTTGGGAGTCTTGGATTGAGTTCCCAGCTCCTGGCTTTGATTCTCAGCAGGGGCCTTTGAGGCATTAGAACCAGATATGGCAGGAATATTATAGTTATCATGATACTTAAAACGGATTACTTTGTTGAGGACTATAGTTGATAAAAATAGATAACATGCAAAAGTAGATGAGCAATGTAGGAAAAATGGAAGAACAAGATGAAATACTATAACCAAAAAATACTAACATAAATGAAGTATGATTTTGGTAGGCTTAACTTACTAGACTGGATAGACTAGAGGAAGGAACCTTTGAGCTTTAGGATGTAGTAATAGAAACTGCCAAGACTGGAAAGCAAGAAGAAAGACTGAAAAAAATTCAAGAACTATAAGAGATGAAAATTGCTCTTAATGAAAATATTAGGGGAAGAAAGAAAGGGGTAGAAAACATACTTTAAGTGGTAATGACAGAATTTTTCCAAAAATTAATATCAGACACCATTCCCACAGATCCAGGAAGATCAGAACACAGAGCAGGAAAGGTGCCAAAATAAAACAAGAAACACATGTAGGCATGTCATTTTTAAATTATACAAGTTATAAGTAGGTTACATACCAGGAAAAATTATGCCTTGAATAGGGACATGAAGACACTCAGATGAAAATGGAGAGAATTACTAGTAAACCTGACCTGCAATAAATGTTCTTAGAAGTTCATTAAATAGAAGGGAAATAATATAGATCAGAAATTTCAATCTACCTGAAGAAAGGAGAATCATCAAAAAATGAGTAAGTGAAAATAAAATACTTTATTTCCCTATTCTTGATATTACAGATAACTTTTAAATATTAATAGCCTCCACAGGAAAAGAGCAGTGTACAAACACATAATTCACTTTAAGAAGTGACGAGGAGCTGCTGTGGCACACCATTCTATATGACTGCCTTTCCAGGTTTGGATGTTTCATGTGCCATTGAACTCCCTGCTGCTGTGCCAGGGAGAGCAGTGGAAGATGGCCCAAATGCTTGAGACCCTATACCCACATGGGAAACCCAAATGGAGTTCCAGCTCCTCACGTTGGCCTGACCCAACCCTACCCATTGTGGTCATTTGGGGGAGTGAACCAGCAGATGGAAAATATCTCTCCCTCTCTGTGACTCTGCCTTTCAAGTAAATAAAGCTTTATAAAAAGAAATGATGTGATATTTAAGATGAAACCTGGAGTTGGCACTGTGGTGCAGTGGGTTAACGCCCTGGTCTGAAGCTCTGGCATTCCATATGGGTGCCGGTTCGAGTCCCGGCTGCTCCTCTTCCAATCCAGCTCTCTGCTGTGGCCTGGGATAGCAGTAGAAGGTGGCCCAAGTCCTTGGTCCCCTGCACCTGCATGGGAGACCCAGAGGAGGCTCCTGGCTCCTGGCTTTGGATCGGCACAGCTCTGGGCATTGCAGCCATCTGGGGAGTGAACCAGCAGATGGAAGACCTCTCTCTGTCTCTACCTCTCTCTGTAACTCTGTCTTTCAAATAATAAAATAAATCTTTAAAAAAAAAAAAAAAACTCACAGGAAATGCTTAAAAAAAAAAAAAAAAGATGAAGCCCATAGCACCAGACCGTACACATCAGTTTATGAGGGAAAAAATTGCCATTACTACTCAAATAGTATTTTACACTTTGTGTTTCTGTGTGGGTGGAAACTGTTGAAATCTTTACTTAATATATGCTAAATTGATCTTCTGTATATAAAGATAATTGAAAATTAATCTTGATGTGAATGGAAAGGGAGAGGGAGTGGGAGAGGGGAGTGTTGTGGGTGGGAGGGAAGTTATGGGGGGGGGAAGCTATTGTAATCCATAAGCTGTGCTTTGGAAATTTATGTTCATTAAATAAAATAAATATAAAAAAAAATTGCCATTACTGAAGAGGGTCAGTGATTAATAGCAGGAACAATAACACAGTTCTGACTTAAAACGTGGAGCAAACTTTCCACTCAGTGGCTACCAGAGGTGTTCCACATAGCTAGCTGCTAACAGAAGGTGGGCTTCCAATGAAATCTTAAATGGATCGATACTGTGAAGGATTGTTTTTTTTGAATAATTTTAACAGGAGAGAAACACGGATTTATCAGTATGATTCTGAAGAAAAAGCACAATCAAAACAATGACAACCAAGAGGTGGAAGTGGTACACTCAAAGCAAGAGCAGACTGATCAAGAGCAAAGATCATGGGACTGGTGCTATGGTGTAGCAGGAGGTGCCAGCAT